CATGGAGTGAAGGTGTACCAAGCCTAAACAAAGCTTGTCAATGGCTGGAATGGTGATTTTGTTTTTTTTTGTTTTTTTTTTTTTTTTCAAAGTTCCATCGTATTGAAATTAATGGGAAACATTACCCACTTTGGATCATATGTTGCTGCTTAAAAAAAACATTACCCACTTTGGTAGGCTGATTATATTTCTCTATTTGTACGGCTTCGAAAGCTACAGTGCATTTCAGTTTCTTCCTGGCAGGAACTTCAACTTTTAAGCCAAAAAGATAGCACAAAATAGCAACAGCACTTACTTCTCATGATTAAGAGCTGCTCTGTTTTCAAGCCTCTGCTACTTTTCTAGCAATCAGTCTCAGTCTCTAAAACCTGAAGCAGAATGTCTCTGACTTGTTCTACAATATCTTCTTCTATGAATGGCATTACGAACTGGACTGCGATTATACGAGTAAATCAATAAACGAATTAGTTTTAACACAACCTATGAGCTTCACTCAACAACAAACAACAACAGAGTAAGTTAAACTACCACTAGTTCCTGTATTCAATTACATTTGGTTATCACTGATTCACTGTTAATATTCTCCAATCCAAGAAAAATGAAGAAAAAGATGATGATAGATTCACTATTTTTGCTCCAAACTAGTTATAACATTCAGTACTGTATTGCAATATGGAACGAAGAAAGTTAGATCTAGCTCAGACAACTCAGACATCTTGAATTTGAACCTCATGCCCAAGAGAGGCAATCAATCAAAGTTCATCTTGGATAGCCTATGAGATAAGAGTTTTATTTCCTTCCCTCAAAGGGGCATTTTAGTTGATTTTGAGCCTTGCGCCCTTTCTATTCCTTTTATTAGCTATATCAGTGGAACCTACATCCGAAACATTGAGAAAAAGGCAAACGCAAAAATATTGTGCGTGAATTTGACGACTTAAATGTTTAAACATCTTGAAGTTCATAGCATACGAGTTATTATTCTAAAATTCTCTTTTGGAGTGGACCGAGTGTTTTAAAGTATATTTAAACATGTAAATTGTAAGCGTAAATTTCAAATATTAATGAAATTGTCTCTCATCAAACAAAATCTCCTATAAACTAAATGGGGAGTCTCTCAACCCTATCAGTATCCGATATAGGATACCAATCTAATCTTTTTTATATAAAAAAAAACTATGAGAAACAACTGGGGCATAAAAAGAAGAGAAAAAGGAGATAATCTCCTCCTAAATCTCCTAATCCCCCTTGCAATGTCCCCCCACTCTCATTCTCTAGAGAATCTATGTCGTTCTTACTCCTTCCACTTCCAGTTCAATGAACCTTCTCCATTCTGACTTGAGCGAGGCAGAAAAACATTCCGCACTCAGAATTCCCACTTGTGTTATACTTGAGATTTTAAGGTCATATCAGCAAAATCCTCAACTTTAGATCAGAGAAGTGTTCCATAAAAATAGCTCAAAGTTCTATCCATGCTTAATAAAAAGGAGAGATGAACTGTAAATGCAATTTACCCCAGGGAATAACTGGAAATTCCCATTCTTGCACTGGAACAGTGATGAGATATGAAGCAACCTACAAACATGAGAAGGAGAGAGAAAGTTAGTGAATAATTAGAAATGTTCTAATCTCACTCCTAAAAAGACATACCAAAATGGCAGCAGCTAAAGAACGAGGAGAACTGTAAGACACAGATGTCTCCTCTTTTTCATAAAGAAGATCCATTACATCCATGCATGCTTCCCAGTTCACAAGCTCCCCAACTTTCGCTACTTCCCTGAAGTTAGTACCAGGAAGAGGCAAACTAAGAAGAAGCCAAGAACAATCTGATAGTAATTACCCGAGACTAAAATGACAGCCTGATTTGAGTGAGACAGCAAAAGATCTTACTTGAATTGAATAAGAAGTTCCTCAAGAAATACAAAAGTGATATTTGCAGTACCAATCTCGAACTTCAATATCTATAGAAGATAAACATATATCATCAGGACACAACCAGAATGAGGAAAGAAACATCTTTGGTTTATGAGAAATACCTGCATGAATATGACCTCCTACAGAACATTATCATCAGTAATTGCAGATATGACTGCAAGAAAGCAACTCTAAAACCACTATGGAAACAGCAACTTACTGCATCCAATAAATCCCGGGTCATGAAATGTTGTTCCTTAATCATCTTATCCCCAAAAGATTTCAGAAGTTTCACAGAAAGAGGATGAGAAGTGTGCAGCTGCAAAAGAATTTGTATAGTTGAATCACATGAAAAAGTAAGGCACTCATCTTCAGAAAGGGGAGAAAGAAAAACCCACTTTGCTAGATATCCATAAGGAAACAAGTGCAAATAACTGCAAATTGCTCTCTGTGATTGGTTGCAGAAGCCAATTTCTTGAGGCATTCCTGCTGGTGATTCTTTTGATGCAAATAGCAATTAAAAGGTGAGTATGAGTTTAGGATGACTTATGGAAGGATGAAAAGTAACTTCAACCAATTAAAAGTACTTCTTAAATTTTCAAAGCATTTCGTTCGACAACCAAAAGTGATCTTGAAAAGTCTAGAACGTAAAAAGCACTAAATTAGTATTTCTTCCAAACGTGCTTAAAAAACATCTAACTCACATCTAAACGAGAATAGAAAATTTCATAAGACAGCCCTGGTAAAATTATCACTAGATAAGTAGCAATCTTCTCAAAAGCAAACACAGGGGCACTGAAAAAGAAAATCGTAATGAATATAGAATTTCTCCAATTGTTAATAAGGAAATGATAAAAATTCCGATCCTAATTCAAACAACACTGACGTCCATGACATTAAACCAGCAATATCAGTAAAATCAAACTAAAATTGGATAATATTGCTCCATTGGATGATACCCTTCACATTCCTATAACCAAATTGTGCAGTCATTCGACAAGATACTGCTTATTCAACTAAATATTTCCAAAATGGAATGCATCAAGAATCAAAAAGAGCTAAAAATTACCCAGAAAGCGATGGGTAGAATCTATCAGCGAAAAGCGACAACGCAGAGTATTTGACGATCGGAGCCACTTCGAGATCCTACAAAGAAAATTGATTCAAACCAGAAACAAAAGTAAGTGAGTAGAGGACGAAAGAAGTATAGGTAAAACTAGAACTGAAATTTGGAGAAGAGAAGTTTCCAAAAGATTCTGAAATTTGCTGCTTTCCGCCTTCTAGAACTGAAATTGTTGGGAGTAAAAGAAGACTCACATGAGCAGATTGAATAAGGAATTTGACGACGCAAATTCTCAGAATCGGTAAGTTCTCACTCTCCATCGTTGTTCTGCTTCCCTTCATCGCATAGTTGCATTGCATGCCAATGTCTACGATACAACAAACACGCCTAGGCCTTTTGTTTCTCCGTTTTTTTCCCCTCTTTTTTCTCTTTTTTTCTTCTTTTATTTATTTTAACTCCATAAGCTAAACATAAAAGTTGGACTTAGATTAAATTTTTTATTTGGTTCGAGTAAAATTAATTTTTTGAAAAATTGAAAATTCGAGTCTGTTGGTAGGTTGACACATTTTTATCGGGTCAGACCAACTCGAAAATACGGTTACAATCAACCCTTCTTTTAAATGATTTTAAAAATTAAAAATATTTAACAATTTGTAATTGTGTAACCTTGCGACTTATAAATATTTAATATTTGAACGGTTATAAGATTTTAGTTATTAAAACATAATTTCTTTTAAAATAATTCGATAATCCTACCCAATCTAATTCGAAAATAGTGTATCAATTATTGGGTTGACTCGGGTTGCGAATAGCTTGTCACATACAAAGGCCTACTGTCCAAAGACTAGTGTGCCCGGTTTAGTTTAATTGGTCACCCTTTGTTCAAGAAGACACATTTACCCTTTTCACTCAATTTAGACCATTTCTAAATTTTTGATATGTTTTCTTTGGTTCTCTCATTTGAACTCGATTTCGGACTTGCCCATGAACACATCAATTTATAAGAAAACAATGTTATAGCTTAAAAGAAAACAAACAACAACCACAACTTTGATAACATATAACTCGAATGGAAAGAATTGATAACAAGTCACATCTTCTATATAATATTTTGAGATATTTGGTATAGACATGATTTTGGAAAATAGTCATATACTCCATATTGACATAATTGTAATATTAAAGACCTAACTATACATGAAAGCAAGTAAAAGCCGTTTAGAACAGGCATGCAATCATGGATAACACGTCCTGGATAAGCATAATCAAGACATCCAACACGTGGCCACATGCAACACGCTTTGGACATGCATGACTGTGATACTCCCTGCATGTGTCCTGCACCAAGCTTATCACAATGAATTGAGCACATTAAAATCGTTATAATCAACCCATATTGAACTAACCAACACTTCAATTTTGGTTGCACTCTTTTTTGTTACCAATATAGAGGGTTAAGGATGTAATGATATACTCCTTGAGAAGCAGATCTAATAGATGATTGCAATCTCACTACAATTAAAAGTAACAAAAGAAAATAGATGATAGAAGCAAGCAAACTACAACACCAGCAACTTGTACAAACTCATTCTGAACATATTGCTGCCTTGATGCTTGAAGCTTCACAATAGACCTCTTTTCGAAGGTTTTAATTTTGGTTTCAAGAGTTCAATAATGTTTTGACCAGTTGAGACCATAATAAAATTAACAAATAATTAGGATAGGTCAAACGATTAAAAAAATTGGCGTAATTGCCTTAATGGGAGTGCTCATGTACTGTTCATTTTTGTACAAGCTTGAATCTAATTATAAATTGCCTATAAAGCTCTCGACCCTCCTTTAAAAGTGACAAATCAAAGAGATACATAAGCTCATTCTACAATTGTCTATGGTTTGCAGCTAAGTTCATTTTTCTCAACATTGTATCCAGCAATCACATTCACAGGAGGAATTGTCGAAAGCACTTTGTCCTCGTCTATTCTTGAATGTTAGAAAGGAAAAAAAAAAAAAAAAAAAAAAAAAAACCTAAGAGGGTAGATTAAGAAAAGTTCAATTTTGAACATTAACAAAACTGTGGAAATTTTACATATATGATCATAGAACTAGGACACTGCTTATTTGAATTTGAATATAACAAATATGCTATGGGGGAGTCAAAACAGTTCCAATTAAAATTGATAGGCCTTGAGTTCCACAACATTCCACCTTCATTTAACCACTGGAAAAGGTGGGAAGCTCAAACTTGTCAAATTTACCATTCTTGATTAAATATGCAGCAACGGCAATTAACAAAATGAATATGATGACCCACAAGTTCATTCCTGCAAGCAAATAAATGGTGATTTAGTGATACCCTCGGGCCTCCATTTGCTATTAGAATAGTAAAGTTTATTAACGCTCTTATGTAACAAGTCATTATACTACATGAATTAAATGTCAATTTTCGGTTAAAAGAAGATATATATGAAGTTCGGACCCTTCATACATACATCCTCTACGAATAAAAAATTTCTAAGTTAATGTTAAAAAAATATACCAACATTAGAAAAAGCCTAAAACATCAAACATGATGGTCAAAATCAGTGTTGAAACTATGCGTTCACCAAATGCACAACACCTCAAGGTGGGCATAGGAACCAGAGGTAATCATTACTCAGATATAGTTAAGAAGAAATGTCCTTCACCAAATATAGACAAAGTGAAACAGTTCCACTAAGGAGCGGTAAAGGCATCTTAGCCATTTTTATTCTATCATTTTCAGTTTAATGAGAGAACATCGGTGAAAACATATATTTTCATGATTTTTTTCTTTTTAAGTAAAATTTTCATAAGTCTAGGCTACATCAAGCACATAGTATCTTTCACCATTAACCATGACCAAACAATAAACAACATAAAATCCTTCGATTAAAAGCCCAAAGTTATATCATGCTGTTTTCTATCAAAACTGGTAGCAGGCTTATGTATCATGCTGTTTTAAACATAAGCCTGCTACTAGAGATGGTGCACTGTGCGTAGATATCATTCTATATCATGTTTCTATAGGTCAAGTGCAGTAAGGTGACAATTGACAACTGATGGCATGTGATGATAGACATTTGAGCTATCAGACAATAAAGCAAGGATACAAGTACCGTTTTTCTGCTCCTCCTCAATTAAAGTAACCCTAACACTGGAGTCCATTGACGCAGAAACCAAAGCCCTGGATTCAAAAAAAAAACATCCTTCATAATCAATATTATTACAGTGATATCTAATTATGTTAAACGGAGATGTTTGATTAAAACCTTGAATCATGGAAAAAGCTCATTGCAGTTACAAAACCAATGTGTGCCTTCTTAACTATCTTTTGGACTCGCATGCTGGTTGAATTTATGATCAGAACATCTCCCTGAGTTGTACCACTACACCAATAATGAAGCAGAAATTGTTACCGAGTGTATTCAAACTACAACACCATACATATTCAAGAGTAGCCTAGCCAGCAAGGTAGCAAAAAACAATGTTATTCGTTATTTGGAATAGAATAGTTACTAGTGAAGGCATAAGTTAAAAGGACTGTCATAATCATTTTTTTTTGTTTCAACTTAATCTTATTTGCAAAATAACCTTTCAAAATTTTTAGTCCACACAGACAAACAGTAAAAGATAAATAACCTTGTCCGGAATTTTTCTGATAAAAACAAAAAAAGGTGAGATGAGATTTGACAGAAGAAAAAATAGCAGAGTTAAGTTAGCATTAATCTATTAAAAGCCTAAGAGTATGAATCCACAAGTATAGGACTGATAGACTGAGAGGGGCATATGGAAAGGGAATAATGGTTGAAATGTTTAAGATATGTCATGCATGAAACAGAGTCTACAGTTTTCCCACTACCTAATAGGGCCTTATTGCCTCAACAATTGGGTCTGATTAAAACCAATCTCACAGTGCACCCTAACGAAGACCTAAGCAAATCATGGGCAACACAACATAGAGCGTCCCACAAGGTTATAACACCTAGGTAGCTGGAATTTCACCTCCCATTTAATGGTATTTGACATTTCCTAAGCATGGACATCATAATAGGAGGCATGACTGCAATGTTCAGGTATCAAAATAGCAGATAACTTGCATGAAAAAAAAAAAAAAAAACACTTATTTTAGTACCAGGCAAGGAGCTTCCCATTAGCTGAAACATTGAATGCAGTAATATTATCACGAGTTATGAGCTTTGAGGCTACCCTCCTCCAAGTGGTTGCATCCCAGGTTACAATGGCTCCACCTTTGCCTATTTAATAGAATCCTCACCAAGATTAGATAACAATAGAATTATAGGGCAAACATAAGTCGGAAGAAATCTCTTTACCAGTCACTGTAGCAGTGTATAAAACCATATTCCCGTTGTTGGCCAAAGAAAATCTGCATGAGACAAAAACCTCATCCTGCAAGACACACCAAGTTTTTTGGGAAGAGACAGATTTCGTTGATTAATAAAATAAAAGGAGTTTTGAAAAAAACTTCAAATAAAGGTGAGATACAATAAAGCTGAAATCAACAAAGAAAGAATATAATCAGAAAATGGAAGTTTATGTTTACACTGACACATAGCATGATATAAAAGCAAATTCATGAAGCTATCTAAGGTTGAGAAAGCATCCTTGAAAATTCGATCATCTCTCAAAACTAAAGATACCAAAATAAAACTTTGTATATAGCTAGCCAGAAAGTTCTTTTCAGACCATAGAAAGGATTACCACAAAAACTGAATCAAGGATACCAAAAACATCATTTGACAAAACCATAGACTAACCAAAAGCATCAAACATTGCCCAACACCATGAGGCAATAAGAGCAGTAAGAAAAGAAATGACAAGGATGCTCCGAATTAGAAAAACACATCACACAACAATGAGAGAAGGTAAACTGAGGCATTCTCCTTTGAAATCGAATAGCTATGTCAATACCTCCAAGATTAAGCTCCCATAAAAAAAAAAAATTAAATCTTAGGATAGGCATCTTCTAAGATAAGATATGCATATTACACTTGCATCAATCTTCGGTTTTATGAAATAATGTCAACTTCAATATGCTTAGTTCTATCATGTAAGACTAAATTATCAGTTCTTGTTATCACAATTGACCTATATAGGTGTTTTGAGACAATTTCCAAGTATCCTGTTAATCCATATACCTTCGCAAATTACATGTACTAAGGCTCTAAATTCAACTAGCACTACTTCTGACTACTATATTTTGTTTTTTACTCTGCCATGTACTAAATTTCCTCCAACAAACGAACAATAAGTAGATGTAAATCTTTTATCAGTAGTGCTTCCAACCTAATCTGCATTAATAAACACTTCAACTTGAAAATTGTCATGCTTCTGAAATAATATACCTATACCTGGAGTTCTTTCAAATATCTCAGAATTTTGTACACTACTTCAAAATGAATGGGTCCAGGTGAATGCTGAATTGACTCACCATACTTAATATAAATGTTATATATAGATGTATGAGATAAATTGATTAGTCTACCATAAGTCTTAGGTGTTTGTCTTTGTTCTTTATTTCTTCAACTTCTACAAGTTCTGACTTCTAGACTCAGTTCATAGGAGTTCCTGTTGTTTGACAACCGAAGTAAATATGTCTTGAACTAAGTCAATTACATATTTCTTTTGATAAACAAAAATACTTTTCTAAGAACTGGCAAACTCTCCCTAAAAAGAAATTCAAGACTTCCAAGTTTGTTCTTAAGATCATGAAAATAATATCATCAACATACACAACTAGAATAGTAGTTTTATTATTCCCATATGATCTGTCGACTTTGAAGGTAGCCATAGCTAGTTTGATAAAGAATCAACCCAAGGGAAGGCTCTTATACCAAATGATAAGGAATCACTACACGGGAAGTAAGATTCAAATTACCTTGTTGATCAAATATCTCGAGGCAAGAACACTTGTTTGAGATTCGAATCACTCCACAAGCAAGATCGATCATATCTAACTTGAATGATTCTAAACATGCAATCTAAACTATATAGAATTTGCAAAGGAAAGGTAAGAGCACTTAGCCCTAATGATAAAGATTCACTCCAAGGGAAAGTAAAATCCATATTACCTTGTTGATCAAATATCTCAAGGCAAGAATATTTGTTTGGGATTCGAATCACACCACAAGCAAGATCAATCATGTCTAGCTTGAATGATTCTACATGCAACCTAAACTACATTGAATTGCAAAGAAACTTAGCTATGAGCTAAAAGAAAGCACAAATACTCTTTTTACCAAGTCTCTTTACAAATATAATATACATGGCTTTATATAACCTCAAAATGAAAACTTTTAACCTTCCATGAGGCATTGCAAGAGTTGTAACTTTCATACTTTATGACCATAATTAGCCACTATGTATACTTTATGGCCACAATTAGCGAAACACCATAACTCTAAATTACCATCCAACCAAAATTTGTAACCATCGAAGAATAAATGGAGCTTGAACAACATTTTCTTCACATCTTCCTTAAACTTTATCTTGTATGATTGATGTCATGGTTCATATCATAGTCACTACTTTCCCAAATTTCCCAAAGCATTCAAACCAAGCTCTTCAAGACCACTTGAGACCATATAAGGATTTCTTTTATCGGCAAACTTTACAACTTTCAAGTTCAATATCAATCTTGGTGCTCGGCTATTCTTCTAAACTTTACTCATAAATACCTCTTCTTCTAAATCAGAGTAAAAAGAAATGTGAAATGTAAATATTTCCATAGTGGTTGAGGATGAGATGATATCTGGATGGAGTGGTGGTCAGGTTTTCAACGAGTGAAAAGCATAAGAAAAATGCTTAAAGAATAAATTTCTAGATGTAACTTGGGAGTAAGAAGTGGGCCATGCTTCTCACTCTCTCATGGATTCCAGAGGTAGAACCAGATTCCATAGTCAAAAAAATTAATTAATAAACAAATTATCACTTCTACCATGCATTCAGTCAGTATGAGGGTCTTGGTCGAGGTCAAAATCTTATTGGTCCCAAGGAAATACTCCATATCAACCAGAAGATTTTGCTATTCAAAAAATAAAAAAAAATAAAAATTACAGGAAAGGCATAAAGTAAAGAGAAGCCTCCAAAAGCACCCAACGCAATCACACATCAAGAAAGCCCCAAAAAGACCAAAAGAATTCCTGCCCACCCAATCCCCCTCAAAACACAACCTATAAGAAAAAAGTTGTCAAGGATAGCATGTCAGAAAGAATAAGAGACCTCAAAATTTTATAAAACATATGAGTTACTCTCTCATTGCCAAATGGTTTTGAGATGGAACCCTATGTTTATTTAATATGCTATCATAGCCCATGAAGCCTAAACGGGTATTTGGTCTCAAAAATATCAAGATCTGACCCAATAATGGGGCAGTCGAAGAAGCACCATCTTGAAGGGGTAAGTTAAGGATCTCACATCAAAAAAAATGAAGAGATCTCACTTTATAAGATACATGAGTTGCTCCTCTCATTACAAATTAGTTTTCAGATGGAACCTCATGTTTATCTAATAAAGGCAAATACAAGTACATGTCAGTCAATGACACCACACGAACCCAAATATCAAAGGGAATACAATAAAGAGCCTAACATAGATGCAAATGCCTCTACAACTAAAAGCACAAGGCCTTCAAATAATAAAACAATTATTTACTCACATTTCCTTTTGGAAGAGCAGTTACTACAGTTGATGAAGTCACATCCCACACTCTACAAGGGCCACCTAAAGAGACCAGATACTTGCCATCAGGACTGCAAAAGTAAAATGACACTATCACCAAAACTTCATCACACAAACGGAGTTTAGATAAACAAACAACATACACTTATCATATTATCAAACATATGCAGGATCTATCAAGAAAAAGAAACTATAACATTGCAGACCTGAAATCCAAGTCCTTCACAGTAGAATGGGCATTGGGTTCATTGAGAATAATGTCCAAGCTAGGCCACTTGAAGACCCTTAAATTTCCATCCTGTACTACATTCAAATCAGAGAATAATAATGCAAGCTACTTCTAGATAAAAATCAAACAGCCTAAAGCATTTTAATACATGCATGCAATGTGTTAAATCACTCTTCAACCCAATAGCTCAAGTTGATGGGTTGCGGTAAATTTAATCATATCAATAATTTAGCACTCTCCCTCACGTGTGGGCTTCGAAATTTGTAGAAAGTCCAACAAGTAAAAATCAATATTAATTGGAGAGAAAATGACATAAAGTTTGAACACATGACATTCTACTCTAGTAACATTTTAAATAATCATTTAACCTAAAAACTTAAATAATCATTTAACCTAAAAACTTAAGGTATGGGTTACAGTAAAGTTAATGATATCAAAACTTCACCATAATAAAATGACAGAACAGAGTTGCAAGCAGCGAGCACTTGGAGAAATGCATAAGTTATTAACATTCTAGGTTTGTAATGATTGAATTTGTAAGCTCCTTTTGCCTCCTTGGAAGAACACCATACCTCCCCCCCCCCCCCCCCCCCCCCCCCCCCCCCCCCCCCCCCCCCCCCCCCCCCCCCCCCCCCCCCCCCCCCCCCCCCCCCCCCCCCCCCCCCCCCCCCCCCCCCCCCCCCCCCCCCCCCCCCCCCCCCCCCCCCCCCCCCCCCCCCCNCCCCCCCCCCCCTCTCTCATATTTAAAATTGTGTGCAGTATAGAAAGTTGTTTCCTTCCCCAAAAAAATTCAATCAAATAGAAACATTTCTACCTCACCACCAGTGGCAAGCAATGAGCCCTCGTTGTTAAATTTCAAGGCTAACTGCAGTCCAACATCATCCAACTGGCTGAGCACCTTCTGAGAGAGTTTTAGGCCAAGTTTCTGGTCTCCATCGTCCTTTTTGATATCCAATTTAAACAAGCTGAATAAAGAGAGAAAAATATTAATTACAAATCGAAGCTTCTCAAGTTACACCATGATATAAAACCCTAAACCCTAAACCCTAAAATTAACCACAGGATACGACTCCAACTTGCAGTTAAATTTTTATGAAACAGTAACTTCTCTTAAGGAAAACTTCAACTCTATTTTGGGATGATGAACAGGAAGATTAATTTCAAGACTGAAAGTACTGTACTCCAGTCTTATTTCATAATTGACAAATTGGAGGACCTTAACGTGAGAAATATGGATATAAAATACCAAATTGTTGCAACTTCTTAGTTTTTGTCAGATATCATGAATGCCTATCTGTTTTGTAGTTCAGGATAGAATTTTACTCATAATCAAAGAGGCTAAGCAAGGAAAAGGAAATGTTCAGGCAAGAAAATATATGCTCTCTACCCTCTCTCTTTCTCTTTCCTTCCTTCTCTTCTCCAATCCTACCTTTCATACATCTTCACGTTCATCCGTTTTAGCCTTCTTATCAGTCAAAAATCAAGTTATGTTTAAGGACATTTCAGAATATGAAGCCTTTTAGCATAGGAAAGGACTTTTTTCATCAATTCTTTAGGATCTGATTTTTTAAAGATTGAAAACAAAATAGTTCTTGCCTTTTCTCCCTTGTTGTTCATCATAAGAAATTCTTTGGTTCGAGGAAGCTTCAGTTGACCTTATGCAGTCTCTATTAACATCACACTTCTTTAGGCCTGTTAAGGGTGAGTTTGTAATTTGTCGGTTAAGTAAGAAGATGAATTGTTTTGGTTGGATTCTCAAGGTATTGTTATAAAACCTTCTGATTGTAGATCAGTAGTTATGGTTCCAGCTAGTAACAACAAAAACAATTGGTAGGGTTTTTGGGAAATGATTTGTGATGGTTTTCTAAATCATTTGGATGGGTAAAACGATCATAATGAAGTACATATGCTGAGTTGGTGAAAAGGAAGAATCATTCTGCTTTATGTCAAGGAATTTTCGTCTTATTCTATGTCTCTAGATTTTTCACTTCAACGTCATTGGACTAAGAAAGAACAGGACTCTAGATATCGGTTTAGAAAGAAAAAGTAGTCTTTAAAAATTTTAGCGACTTATTTGTGCTTAACCAGTTGTTTGCCCATTATAAATGGAAGGATGTTAAGGAAACATTATAAAAGCATCATCAGGGACGGTTGGTCATCAACCCGTTTATGGCCAATAAGGCAACGTTGAAAATGGAAGAAAATGTTATACAAAAGTATTGCGGCGGAAAATAGAGAATTCTTGGAAACTTCATCTAAAATTTGAAAAATGGTTACAGGATAAGGACTCTCGTCTAGCATCCACTGCGATCAAAGATAAAGAGAAGAGGAGATTTTCTGGACAACGATAATATTGAATTCCTTGCAAGTTTTCCTTTTCAATTAAGCTTTGTGGTTTACAAATGTGAGAAATTCCATCGTTAAATGCCTTCCGACAAATGCTAAGAAGATCCACAAGGAATACTTTTAATGCTTCAATGAATATTTTGTCTTCGAGCATAGGTTTTCCCTTTGAAGTTTGTTTCCTGGTGAAGTGTTTTTGGTTTCAGCATCTTTTGATATTTCAGTTGCCTTCATAATTGGGGTTTATTGGTTGTCATTTTCTAAGAAGCTCTTTCACAAATAATTACAGAGGTTCAGCGGCCAACATTAATTTCACAATTTATGTCAAGATAGCGTTAACTTCTTCATTAGAATATTAGCTGAAGATGTTCGCCCGCACTTTTACTCCAGGCTTTTTGGCTCTTGTCTTCTACCAAGAAGTTATTTCGGCTGCATTAATCATTACGGCTTCCTTATCGTTTCAAGGCAGCATTTAATGTAGTTTTTTCGTTGTTTCAAGGAAGCTCTTGGTTCATGATAGTACTAATTTTAACCCTAAACTCCTTGGAACTACCAAATTTCCTCTCGATTTATTCATTGACCATTTATTTTTCGAGAAAAATGAACCTTTTATGAAAGTTTAAGAAGTTTTTTTTGCCATTTCTCCTAAATATATATTCAATTTGAAGATGTGTGAATTTTATCTTCCAAGGCTCACTTTGAGATTTATTTTCAACATTTCTTATGGAGTCAAATACCGCCATGTAGTGCTCATTTATTGGCTTGGATAGCTCATCTCAAAGAGAAATTCAAGAGAATTCGAAAGAAATTGTTGTGTTAAAAACAGTTCCTTGAAATGAAGACTGAAATTCTTCGCCAATACTTGATGGAGCTTTCAAAAGCCTATTTCAACTTCTATGAGCAGTTCAATGTTAATTCTCTTGATTCAATTTGATGAATGAGTTCTTTGTCAAGTTTTTAAGTTTATCATCTGTTATGGGTTGCCGTTTCTTTGTATTTCTCTTTATTTTTCTTTTTCATTCTTTTTGGAGTTTGTACCCTTTGATCAATTGTCTCTCTTTTGTTTCATACATGCCTACTACAGTTATTAGTATATTGAGATTTAGACTGGCCATAGGTCTATCGAAGAAAGAACTAATAATCATCATCTTTGGTTCGTATTAATTTATTCAGTTAACGGAAACAGTAGTACCTGCAACTTTTTGGAAAAGAACAAATAATTCCATCTCCAGCTGGATGAACAGCCATTCTGTAAGGCAAATCAGAACCAGTTCCATATTTTGCAACCTGGAAGGATAGATCACTAATGAATGCATATCAACAAAAAAAAAGGCAGCAGCAAAAAATGATAGCAAAAGATAGTACGGAAATAGAGCAAAAAGCTACCAAATAAAAAGCATTCCACAGGATTCAAATAAATCTCATAAAATTACGATAACACAAATATCATAAAACGTTAATGAATGTGAACTACCATTGGGAGCGAAATAACAAACTAACTAAAGAGGGGATATGAGAACCCCCCCCCCCCCCCCCCCCCCCCCCCCCCCCCCCCCCCCCCCCCCCCCCCCCCCCCCCCCCCCCCCCCCCCCNGAAGAGAGAGAGAGAGAGAGAGATGGCCTAAGGGAGGCATAGAGGAAAGAGAGCCCGTCCCATAACTAACAAGGAAAATTCATATAAATATCATTAGAGGAGTAATTTGCAAATAAAGGAGAAAGTGAACACCAATGAGAAGACTTAATCTTGACTAAATCAAACCGTTCCTACCAAGCTAAATGCTCATCATAAAAAATAAAAAATAAAAAATAAATCTTTTGATTTTGTTCAAACCAATCCTCAGAAATGATAACCTTGATGGCATTGACCCAAATCCTCCATGGTTTTAGTTAAAGCATGCTGCATTTGATGGTAATAGCCGATAGACAAATTGTCAATGCCATTCATTTGTTAAAGAAGGTATGTATGAAAGGAAGAATAGAAGGAACATACGTAGGAATTATCTTCAAATTAGATCTTGAGAAACCTTATGACGATGTAGACTGGCCATTTTTGCATGCTATCTTCTCTAAGAAAGGCCTCAGCAGGTGATAGAAAAAGCAAATTATCGAATGCATTCTTAATGAAAATTGTTCCAATTGACTTGTCCACTTTATTTTGTTGGAAGATTGCTCAAGTCAGCTTCAAGATAGAGGGGACCCAAGCAAATTATCGAATGCATTCGGGAGTGAAGGTTGTTAATTGTGCTTTTTTCCTTTTTCTATTTTTTTTTTTTTTTTTTTTTTTTTTTTTTTTTTTTTTTTTTTTTGAAAGGGAACACAGCTTTTTTTNGTTCACGACTAGCCGACTAGCCTTAAGGGGACCCAAGCCTCATGTGCATTTTTTGCCCCAACTTTGTGGCTTTGTCAAACCTCATGTGAGATTTGTCTTCGCCAACTAAACATCACTTGTGCGGAATCCAAGTTTGTTCGACCACACACGCCGCCTACGCATGCATGTTCAATCGTTTGTGAAACAATCAACTTGCCTCTACACTAGGCCAAGTCATTCAGTTCGACCTTGCCTTTACTCGAGGCCAAGGTCGCTCAATGCAACGTCACATCTCATCCTGTCATCTTGGTTCCCAATCGACATGAACCATGTCTTGACATCCTCCCAAGTCACGAGGTGTCGTCAGCTATCAGAACTCACTCGGTCATGCAATCAAGAACAGGCCCACGTGTCGTTCATAACATTGGGACACCCTGAACATCCATCCATTTGAGTTCAATCGAGGCGTTGGCCCTCCCGTGCCCATGTCATGTCATTTACAAACACCATACTGGATAGCTGGTGCATAATTCAACCTCTGATACATGGGCTGGGGCGCAATACCAACAAACCTGTGCTGCCCGGTACTATCCTTGAAAAACCCATTTCAAACAAAGTCGTCTGAGACACTCGTCTCGCAACGCTCACTCTCACTATGACACACGTATGTGCCACAGGGTAGTTCGCTTAAGCCATAAGGCCTAGGCATGGTGGAGAGTTGACACTATGCCTCCCCCTATAGTACATTTTGAGGCATGTCCAATCCTTCTCGAGTAGACGTCATTTTGGCGAGCAAACATACAACCCTATGCATAGTCCGTCGAGTATCCAATTGACACCAAATTTAGTGAGATTTCATCTTTCGTAGAGAAAGACTTCATTCCAAAGCCGCATGCCAAAACTCATATTGAAACCCCGACTTTTGAGATTATAGCCCAGGGCCCTACCCAACCCTCTTCGAGCTTGTCTTCGACACTCATGTCGCCTCGTTATCTCAAACCTTGTGTATGTCTCGACTTAGCTTGAATGCACATTTTTTGGTGTGTTGGATGATGCACCATCCTCATCTGGCGCATTATGGCATTTCTCAATCTTGGCCCTCATGTGACCGGATGGGTGCCACTTGAGGGTAGCCCTTTGTCTGTATTGCGTGTGGGGGTCACAACCTGCTTTCTCTAGTGAGGTTGTGACACTAGTCTGGGAATAGCCTTTAAAATGCCTCAATATGCTGCTAGGTGGTAATTTGAAGATTAGGGATTCAACAATCCTGTGGAGAAGGTGATGAAGGAGTTCCAACAAATGGAAGAAGGATTGCCTTCCCAAGGGGGAGACCGACTTCTATGGCGCAAGCAATGTTTGAGAACGTTCCCTACCTTTTCCTTTCTATCTTTCAGTAAGGTGGCAAAGGAGTGAGGAGGTCAAAATTTATTTTATTTTAGAAGAGAATAAATAATTCATTAATTAAATGAAATATAGAGAATTAGTAGACTTCCAACCACTAAAAGGATATTACAAGAGACAGCTTTCCAATTGGGAACTAAAGAAGTAAGACCATAAGCACCAAAAGGGTGTTTACATTCACACTAATAAAAAGCATGAAACAAAATTTAATCCATAAAGTTACCAAAGGTTGAGTAGGAGTCCATGAATATTCTTCCATTTTGCAAGCCATAAAATCTTAACACCACAAAGGTGACCACAAAAGAAGATGTAAAAATATCATAAATCATGCCAGTTAAAAACATGTACCAACCAAAGGCTTCTAACATAATGAGACAACAACTATGAACAAAGGACAATAGGCAAACAAATGACAAGGATGTTCTGCATTTGAGAGCACACAACATATCATGAATGGGGATCATAGAAATGAGACAATCTTCCTAGAATTTGATTAGATGTATGTACACTATGGCTAAGATCGCTAGAAAACCTTAATTTTCTTCACATAAGCATCGCTTCAAATCATTGAGTAAAGATTGTTGTTCATTGGACCCATAGAATGAATTAAATCCTTCAATAGAGAACAAACAGTGATGGAGGTAGGAATTATCACAGATTTTTTAAGAAACAGAATTTCATTGATTGAATGAAAGTTACACAAGAGGACAACCCTCCAACCACCAGAGTGGATTACAAAAAATGTCTCCACCGATAAATAAGACCTTTGTACGTTTGCACAAACTAAAAGAAGTAGAGTGCAGAGTTTAAGAAGTAGTCAAAGAACTTAGCTTTGTCACTAAAATGCGGTTGTTTCTTTCCTCGTCCAGCAGAATGTTCTGGCCATAGAGAGCCAAACAATCTTCTCTTGGGCCTTGAAAGGATGTCTCAGAAGTGAGTAAGCGAGGAAGTCATGAATCTTGATGGGCAGCACAGCAGACCAACCGAAGGCTTCCAAAATGGATGACTAAAAGTGTGTGGCAAAGGAACATGCAATGAAAAGATGCCTTCAACATTAAGATACTTCCATACACATGGTACGGCAGGAAGGAGATAAAGCATGATGAGGGAGATTCCTTCGCAAACATTAATGTTTGGTGACTGAGCTCTCATAAGATAATTTCTATTCCTCCGGGAAATGTCCCCTCATTAATACAGAGGATTGTTTTTCTTTGTTGTGGCTGTTTTGCAAGAACAGATTAAAAGACTTAACCATGAAAGTTGAGGAGGTTTCTTACAACCAAAGCCATCTGACATTTTCTTCCTTTAGGTCCAATACGCAAATGAGATTGGAGTAGGAGGCCCATCAAGTGATAGGTTCCTTTGAAAATCAAAAGCCCAATCTCCGAATTCCAACAATCTGAGATAGTGGCTTTGGGTTTGTTTGCAAGTCGGTATATTATAAGAGATTTCGAAGTTATGACAGATTTTTTCTCCGGAGGTGCTGAGATGGAGGGCGAGTTCTTCTTAAATGGAGCATTATGTCCATGCCTAGGGAGTTGGGTAGCCTTGGGTTAGGCAGTACTGGGAAGAACAAGGCTCCATTGACTATATGGTGGAGAATTTTATTGAAGATAAAAGAACTTGGCATAAGATCATCATGAGCTTGGTAAAAACTCTCAACTGAACTATGAGATGATATTTCCAAAGGTCTTTGATGGCTGTGGTTAATAAATGCAAACCTATAAAACAATGTACATTTAAAATGGTTCTTAAGGTTTACTTAGTTGCTCCATGGAGATTGGTTAAATTAATCTCGATAATATCGAATTGAACCTCGAACACTTACACATACATAGTTGACCTTGCACACTCCACAGCTAACTTAAACATAACAAGAGACCCTATATAGCCATATGGGGATGCTTTCTCTTACGCTTATCACAAGTATTAATACCTCCCTGTAAAGGATTCCACACAGAAATAATTTTCTCATGACATTTGGTTCCATACATCTTACATAAGTTTTTAGGAACAGATTCAGGGTTTTCCATTATATCAACAAAAAGGGATTGCAAGTAAACAACCAAGAATTCTCCAGCTGCACACAGTAGCTTTTTTTTTTTTTTTTCTCTCTCTCTCTCTCTCTTTCTGATGAGAAACAAATTTTGTTGATGTATTAACTAGTCTCCTACATGTCTAGGGTGAAAATTCTCAATCATATTGGATATGAAGCCATCTATGAATTTCTCAACCAGATATGTCTCCTATAAAGGGCACATAAATTGGAACACAGATTCTAGCAGGAATAAAAATGGGTTGTTTACACTCCCAAGTCAGAGAATATGATATATTACATGAAAAAAATGATGTTGGTATGAACTATTGAGCAATTTCAATCTGACACAAGGCGTTTCCTATAGAAGATTGAACAAATATCTCCTCAATGATCCTTGTTCATCCCTTCAATGATAAATTCAAGATACTTTTAATGCTTGTTTGGCTATTTCATATGTGATAAGATAAGGAACCACTACAAGGGGAGTAAGATTTGGATTACCTTGTTGATCGAATATCTCAAGGCAAGAACATTGTTTGAGATTCGAATCACTCCACAAGCAAGATCAATCATGTCTAGCTTGAATGATTCTTGTTGATCAAATATCTCAAGGCAAGAACACTTGCTTGAGATTTGAATCACTCCACAAGCAAGATTGATCATGCCGAGCTTGAATGATTCTACATACAACCTACACTACATAGAATTGCAAAGAAACTTAGCCATTGGCCAAAGAAGAGCACAAATGCTTCTTTTACTATATTTTCCAAGTCTTTACCAATACAACATACATGGCTTTATATAGCCTCAAAATGAAACTACTAAAGGCATTCCAAGAGTTGTAACATTCATACTTAATGATCATAATTAACCATTATGTAATTGTAAAATAAAAAGTTCTAAAAACTCTAAATTACTCTAAGTTGTAACCCACCCAAAATTTATAACAATCAAACTTCATTCTTCTTCAATGTGGCATGAATTGAAACATTTTTTATAATTTTGACAACCTTTTCTTCACATCTCCATTGAAGTATATTGTATGATTGATGTTTTTTGGTTCATATCAATATGAGTGTCTGTTAGAGAGGAATAGGAGAGTTTTCAATAGGATCAGGGGATGTACAGGCCTTTGTTAAATCATAAATGTAACAAAGAATTTATTTGTTCTGTTCCTTCTTCTTGATGTACTGAGACCAATTTCAAATTGGAGAGAATATTGGTCATCGACTTGGGCTAGGCTAGGAAGATGTTTTATCTTCATATGTGGCAACACAAGATTAAAGAAAACGAAAACATCAAAATGTACTGTGAAAACATCGGGTCAACCAAAACTGCAGGAGAGAAAAGGACAATTATGCCATCGAATCATATCGAGATTTGAGGAGGCAAAATCAATGTAAGCAAGCAACGTCTTAGATTTTCAAATATTTACATAATGCAAACTTCGATACATTGGTGAAAAGAAATCACCAAAAAGGAAACCAAACGGGATCGTAATTTAAAGACAGTAGCATATAGCACCTAGTCAGCAAGAGAATCAACAATCGAAGAAAAATCATAATCTGCCCATTTCTGCTTCACTCAATAACATAGACGAAATAAAATAACGCCAAGCATTTACCGGTAAAGGAAAACTCGAACACGAAAAATAATCATCGAAGAAGAGAGAGAGAGAGAGGGAGAGTTTACAGGTTGATCAGAGAGCGAGCGGGATTCAAAATCGAAATGAGCTAGTATGAGAGCATTGGAAATTCCACTCCGACCTTCTCCGCCACCGCCAGCGGCAGCTACGTAGTAATTAACTGCGGTGGTGGGATGAGATGGAAGTGTTTTGTCGTCGGCGGAAACGTCACCATCACCGTCACCGGATTGATCTCGATCAATTTCAGATTCTAGAGATTCTTGCTCGGATTTGAGAGAAATGGAAGGCACCCAAGCGGCTGCGTAGAAAGGGACGCCATACTTGCGAGAATTGGAAGGCTCGGGAGCTTCCATTTGGGTTGGGGGGTTTCTCGTTGTGTTTGAGTATCTGGTTTTGGTGCAAATTAAGCGAGAATATAGTCTCCTTGGGGCCTTTTCTTGCTTCTTTCGTTTTTGTTTTATGTAACTCTCCTCTCTCTCATTTCACACCTTCTCTCTCCTTTGACTCAAAATTTTAAGTCAAAATATATTTTTAATCCATGAGCCTCGAGTTTTGTAGGTCATACACACGTTGAATTTGGGAAATTTTCAGGGCCGATCCAAATTTCGAGTTGATTAGGTTGGTGGCCCGAACAACTCAAATAGAGTTCACAATCAAACTCGAAAATATAGAGCCTGGTTGAGTTGTTGTGTTATTTTTATTAGTTATTTAAAAAAATTCATAAATCTCAAATATCAACCCGTTACAAATCACACTGCTATCACTGCTATTTGTTACAAACATTAAATATTTTTAATACTCATATAGTAATTTTAGAATTAGAGTGAGTTGGTTTGACCAAGAAAATGTCAACCCCTAAACTAACTGGTTTCTTTTTTTTCGATTTTTAAAAATTCAAATAAAAAAAAACTGACCTAACTCAATTTTTATGATCTAAATTGAGTAGTCCAAGTTGATCTGATCTAGAATTATTTGAACACTTCTAACATTTGATATCTATTTGGTCTCTAAAATTTTAAAACTTTTCTCGTATTATAATAAAATATATATATATAAAAATAGTCCAATTCGAAAGTAATTTGATTAAAAAAATTATTTCTGGGATATAACCAATTTGATAATTTTATATTGTTTGATAATTCTTATAAAGCAAGTTTGCATCTCTTCTACTATGCTTTATGTCGGTCTACTTTTTAGGTTGCTTCTTCATGATTTAAAGGTCGAAATTAGTAAGAACAAATTGACAAGATGCATATATGTTAGCTACAGATTTATACTTCATTGGCGATGTCTCATCCGAAAATTCTTCAAGAGAAGAGTTGTTGTTTGGTGATGCTGAAGTTGATTGTGTTGTAGTAGAAGTACTCGAATATGCAACTTATACTCTCATCAATACTACATCTTTTATTTGAAATATTTTCATTGAGAGAGTTATACAATTTATATGCTCTTGATTGAGTATAATAACCAATGAAAATGCATTTTTCATATTTTTCATCAAACTTTTGATTAATTTAAGAATTTATCAAAGTATACGACATACCATCAAAGACTCGTAAATGACTTACAAATGGTTTTCTTCCTTGTCATGCTTCATAAGGAATTCGATTCATGATGGTCGTTGTTAGTGAGAGATTTAATAGATATACAGATGTTGGTACAACTTCTGCCAAAAGTTTTATTGCTTGTAACATACTTCTTGTCATCTTCACATCAAATTTTTTTTGTTTAGTGACTCTGGTTTGTTCTAGAGTGTAAGGAGTTGCTAACTCTAGTATGACATTTTCTTCATAAAATCGATTGAATGAACACTAACTCTCTTATGACATTTTCTTCATAAAATCAATTGAATGGGCTTCCCCTCAAGGCTTTAAAAGCCATCTGCTAAGGGAAGGTTTCCACACGTTTATAAATGGAATAAGGTGATTTGTTATTTGTTCTACACATCTGCTAGGGGAAAGTTTCACACTCTACACCCTTATAAATGGTGATTTGTTCTAGGGGGTTCTAGAGGAAGGTTTCCACACCCTTATAAATGGTGATTTGCTCTAGGGGAATGATTTGTTCTAGGGGGTTCTAGGGGAAGGTTTCCACACCCTTATAAATGGTGATCTGTTACAGGGGAATGATTTGTTCTAACGGGTTGTGGGGGAAGGTTTCCACACCCTTATATATGGTGATTTGTTCTAGAGGAATGATTTGTTCTAGGGGAAGGTTTTCACACACCACACCCTCATAAATGGGGGATTTGTTCTAGGGGAAGGTTTACACACCCTTACAGATGGTGATTTGTTCTATGGGAATGATTTGTTCTAACCACACTCTTATAAATGGTGATTTGTTCTAGGGAATGATTTGTTCAAACCACACCCTTATAAATGGTGATTGTTCTATGATTTTTTTTAGGGGAAGATTTCCACACTCTTATAAATGGTGATTTGTTCTAGGAGAATTGTTTAGGGGAATAATTTGTTCTAGGGGAAGGTTTCCAGGTTTTGTTGTAGGTGAATGATTTGTTCTACAGGAAGATTTCCACATCCTTATAAATGGAATAAGGTGATTTGTAATTTGTAGGAAGGTTTCCACACCCTTATAAATAGTGATTTAAAATGATTTGTTCTAGGGGAAGGTTTACCGGTTTTGTTTTAAGGGAATGATTTGTTATTTGTTCTAGGGAAGGAAGGTTTCCACACCTTTGTTTTAAGGGAATGATTTGTTATTTGTTCTAGGGAAGGAAGGTTTCCACACCTTTGTTAGGGGAAGGTTTGAAGGTGATTTGTTTTTGGGACATCTTCAGGTTTTTACACCCTTATAAATGGGTGATTTTTCACACTCTTTGGTGATTTTTGTTCTCCTCCCTAACCAATATGGAACATCTGCAGGTTTCGGGACATCTGTGGGTGATTTTCCATACACTTATAAATGGTGATTACTGTTCTCCTCTCTAACCAATATGGGACATCTGCAGGTTTCCACACCCTTATAAATGAGTGATTTTCCACACCCTTTGTGATTTTTGTTCTCCTCCCTAACCAATATGAGACATCTGCAGGTTTCGGGACATCTGCAGGTTTTCACATCCTTATAAAGGGAAGAAGGTTTCCACATCCTTATAAATGGGTGATTTTCCTCACCAATTTGTTCTCCTTCCTAACCAATATGGGACATCTGCAGGTGGGTGATTTTCCACACTCTTTGGTGATTTTTGTTCTTCTCCCTAACCAATATGGGACATCTCCTCCCTAACCAATATGGGACATCTGTTCGGGACATCTGTAGGTTTCCACACTCTTATAAATAGGTGATTTTGCTCACCAATTTGTTCTCCTCCCTAACCAATATGGGACATCTGCAATTTTTCACACCCTTATAAACGGGTGATTTTCCACACCCTTTGGTGATTTTTGTTCTCCTCCCTAACCAATGGGTTCTCCTCCCTAACCAATATGAGACATCTGTAGGTTTCAGGNCATCTGTAGGTTTCCACTCTCTTATAAATGGGTGATTTTGCTCACCAATTTGTTCTTCTCCCTAACCAATATGGGACATCTGCAGGTTTTGGGACATCTGCAATTTTTCACACCCTTATAAACGGGTGATTTTCCACACCCTTTGGTGATTTTTGTTCTCCTCCCCCATCCCTAACCAATGGGTTCTCCTCCCTAACCAATATGGGACATCTGTAGGTTTCAGGACTTCCACACCCTTTGGTGATTTTTGTTCTCCTCCCCCATCCCTAACCAATGGGTTCTCCTCCCTAACCAATATGGGACATCTGTAGGTTTCAGGACATCGGTAGGTTTACACACTCTTATAAATGGGTGATTTTGCTCACCAATTTGTTCTTCTCCCTAACCAATATGAGACATCTGCAGGTTTTGGGACATCTGCAATTTTTCACACCCTTATAAAGGGGTGATTTTCCACACCCTTTGGTGATTTTTGTTCTCCCTAACGAGTGACATATGCAGGTTTTGGGACATCTTCCAATTTTCCACACCCTTTGGTGATTTTTGTTCTCCCTAACGAGTGACATCTGCAGGTTTTGGGACATCTTCCACTCTCACCCTTATAAAGGGAGGAAGGTTGTTCTCCTCCCCAACCAATGTAACCAATATGGGACATCGGCAGGTTTCCACTCCCTTTTTTGGATCCACTTCCTCCCCAACCAATGTAACCAATATGGGACATCTGCAGGTTTCCACTCCCTTTTTTGGACCCTTTTTTGCGTTTCCACTCCCTTTGCAGGTTTCCACTCCCTTTTTTGGACTCTTTTTTGCGTTTCCACTCCCTTTGCAGGTTTCCACTCCCTTTTTTGGACTCTTTTTTGCGTTTCCACTCCCTTTGCACATCTTCTGCAGGTTTCCACACCCTTATAAAGGTTTTTTGGACCCTTTTTTGTGTTTCCACTCCCTTTGCACATCTTCTGCAGGTTTCCACACCCTTATAAAGGGGAAGGTTGTTCCACACCCCAACCAATATGGAACATCTGTAGAGGTTGTTCCACACCCCAACCAATATGGAACATCTGTAGGTTTCATTTGTAGGTTTCCACACCCTTATAACCCCAACCAATATGGAACATCTGTAGGTTTCATTTGTAGGTTTCCACACCCTTATAACCCCAACCAATATGGGAGGTTTCCACACCCTTATAAATGGTGATTTTTGTTCTCCTCCCCTACCAATATGAGGACATCTGCTCCACACCCTTATAGGGACATCTGCTAGAGGAAGGTTTCCACACCACCCCAACCAATATGAGAGTCCACACCACCCCAACCAATATGGGAGGTTTCCACACCCTTCCACACCCTTATAGGGACATCTGCTAGAGGAAGGTTTCCACACCCTTATAACCCCAACCAATATGGGAGGTTTCCACACCCTTATAAATGGTGATTTTTGTTCTCCTCCCCTACCAATATGAGGACATCTGCTCCNTCACCCTTATAGGGACATCTGGTAGAGGATTTTTGTTCTCCTCCCCTACCAATATCCACACCCTTATAGTTCTCCTCCCCTACCAATATCCACACCCTTATAGTTCTCCTCCCCTCCCAATATCCACACCCTTATAGTTCTCCTCCCCTCCCCTACCAATATCCACACCCTTATAGTTCTCCTCCCCTCCCCTACCAATATCCACACCCTTATAAATGGTGATTTTTGTTCTCCTCCCCTACCAATATGAGGACATCTGCTCCNCACCCTTATAGGGACATCTGGTAGAGGACCCGTTCTCCTCCCCTACCAATATCCACACCCTTATAGTTCTCCTCCCCTCCCCTACCAATATCCACACCCTTATAAATGGTGATTTTTGTTCTCCTCCCCTACCAATATGAGGACATCTGCTCACCCTTATAAATGGTGATTTTTGTTCTCCTCCCCTACCAATATCCACACCCTTATAGTTCTCCTCCCCT